AAGCTGAAAAGAAGTTAGCCACCGTGACATTTGGGAGAAAACGCCGCAGCGGCTCAAACAGAAAGGGAGGAGTGCGTCTCTGTAAAAGGCGCCAAGGCGCCTCACTGAATCTGCCGCGGCTCCCAAGCTATCTCGGAGGAAGCCTATTTGGTATAATCCACCGCGGCCGATTATCACATGCACCGCGCATCGAAGCCTCAAAGGAAAGCCACTCTGTAATAGGCACCGTGGCGCCTGAAGGAATCCGCCGCGGCGCCTGGCCCCTCGTAGCTGTGCGTTTTACGTGGTAACTTAAAAAATTAGGGCATATAGAGGTGGATACTCGGTTTTTCTGAGAGACTTCGACTTGGGAGCAATTTTAGAGGCTGGCTCTGCTAGGGTTTGGAGTTTTGGAGGCTTGGAACCTTTGGGCTTGAAGCTAGAAGAAATTCAAAGCTTGTAACTTGAATTTTCTGGGTTTTCTTCTTCTTCCCTTCTTGTTTCTGCTATGACTACTAGCTACTCTTATAGTTGTAGTTCTTTACTCGATATGTATAGCTAAATTCATTTTTCTAGGGTTATTTTGATCTATTGTATGGATTGAGACTTGGTTTTACTATCTCTTGAGTGTTAATGATAATGTTCAGTTGTTTTTACTTTGAGCTTAATGCTTCCTTTTGTCTAGCCATCATTTGGATTGATTGATTGATTAGTCTAACTTGAGAAAGTTTAACTAATTCGTGAACTTTGGTAAAAACATGCTAGTCCAGAAATTTAATTGAGTAAATAGATGGTTTGTCGATAGAGCAGAGATGTATCTGTTGACCTAGCATAGACTAAATGGGTTTTGGTTTTTAAAGTGCAACCTTTTCAAACAAGTGCAAGAGATTGCTGTGTTTTAATTGTGATTGCAAACATTTAGTTTTGACTTGAGAAAGCTTAATCAATTCTGCAAACTCAAGCTAACTGAACTTATTGTAAAGCACTACTTAAGAAGTAATGAATCCAGTTTCATGAAGTACTTTAGTGAAGAATAACCCTAGTCTCTTAATTGTTTCAAGGTTGATTTGATTTTATACTACTTTAAACCATTGTTTTCCTAATTTCATTTCACAAACTCTTTTACAACAATTGTTTCACTTAACCTAATCAAATACACAATTATGATTTTCAACTCATCTAGCCTTAGTCTCTGAGGGAACGATACTTTTTATATTACTTGCGACCCGTCCACTTGCGGTTAAGATATTTGGTGAACAAGTTTTTGGCGCCACTGCCGGGGACTAACGACGAGAGTGTTTGAGGTTGATTGTCCTTATTGTGTGATTGGTTATGCTTAAGTTTCAGTTAGCATTTATAGTGGTTATAGGTAGTAGTAGTAGTATTTATTTCATTCATTTCTCTTGATAAGTTTGATACTTTTGTTTTTGATTTGAATGTGCAGGTAACCCCTGATGCATGCAAGGAAGACTGGAAGTTATTGTGGAAGAAGTTATTGAAGAAGAATCCAGGACGGGAGAAACTGAAAACACACCGGAGATTCAACAACAACCTTAGTTACTTCCACCACCACCACTTGAATCAGAATCAGAAGAAAACATGGCGGAGGAAGATGAGAACAACGTGTACACCCTGGATGACTATTTGGATAAAGAAGGGCAGACTTTTCACTCAAGTATCCGGCTACCAGACATTCAAGCCAAGAATTTTGAAATCAAGCCCGTTATGATTCAACTACTGGGGATGATGGGGACTTTTGAAGGAAATTTTAATGATGATCTGAATGAGCACTTGACCAAGTTTATAGAGGTTTGTAAGAACTTCAAATAGAATGGGGTTACTAAAGATGCACTACGATTGAGATTGTTCCCCATGTCGTTATCTCACAAGGCGAAAACGTGGTTGAATTCTTTACCAGAACACTCCATTAAGACTTGGGATGATCTTGTATCTAAGTTCAAGGCCAGATTTATTCCAAGGGGCAAACGTGCTACATTAAGGGGTGAATTGCTTTCTTTCGAGCAATATCTGGATGAGTTATTCTACGAGGCTTGGGAAAGATTCAAGGATATGTGGAGAAATTGTCCAAATCATGAGCAAAAGAAATATGTTCTAATGGAAGCCTTCTGGAATGGGTTGAATGATCAGACAGTGACAATGCTGAATACCTCTTCAAACGGAGGAATCGGAAAGATGAAGGTAAATGAGCTATATGAACTGTATAAAGAGGTGGCATCTAGCACTATGCAACAGTATAACAAGGAGCCTAGTTCTTCATCATCAAGGGATATTGCATCGCAACTTGAAGCAATATCTAAGAGATTTGTTAATCTGGAATTGCATATTAAGAAAGGAAATGCTGCAGGAGTTCATGCACTTCAGGCTCCGGGATACACTTGTGACCATTGTAATGAGGAACATCATTCTGATCAATGCCCATACACCTTGTAGACAATCAATTATATGAATAATGCGCAGCGAAGACCACAAGGAAGCCCTTACTCTCAAACTTACAATCTAAATTTGAGAAATCACCCAAATTTCTCTTGGCGAAATGGGCCAAGTTTGAATCCACCACAAATATTACCATCTGGTGCTAAACAAATGGGGCCTCCTAGTTTTCATGGTCAACCGCAGCAACATCAACTGCAACAGTAACATCCTCAAAAGGAGGAATCCAAAATTGAGAAGATGTTTGCTCAGTTATTAGCAAATCAAGAATCTACAAGGGCTGAGAATAAGGCAACATTTTCTCTCCATGAAACTACTATCAAGAATCTCGAGGTTCAAATGGGTCAATTGGCTTCACAAATGAATGTACTCACAAGAACCAGCTTACCAAGTGATACCATTCCTAATCCGAAAAGGGATGGTAATGAAGAGTGCAAAGCTATCAGTTTGAGAAGTGGAAGATGTTGGAAATTATGCCCTAGGGGCCAATCATATTGCTATGAACATTGTTAATTTATGAATTTATTAATTACGTTATCATATTATTTGCACGTTTACTGTGATGACTATCCTTGGATAACTCATGGTTTATCCTAAATGTCCCTAGTCAGTCATCTATGTGGGAGCAGAGATGAAATAAGACCAGTATGACTTTAAAGATATATAGAGATATAAATTAAAGTTATAGGCACATGTAAGAGTACAAGGTGTTGGACCGACCCGCTATGAGAGAGCTGCATGGGTTAAGTCATAAGCTTCTCTCATATACAAACCATGTCACTGTGCCCTTTGACCTGAGATCATCATGGATTCCTACATGAGAAACGCTTAGCTTTGACCTAGTCAAAAGTCACTTTTGACCGAGTGATCATAAAGACTATGTTCAGGCTTAGTGGTTTTTCATGCGGAGGAATGTGAATGGTCAAGATGGAATTTGTCCCTCGCATTCGTAGAGAGACATTACTGGGTCCCTCGATGAGTGAGTCTGAGAAATGTATGGCCATACTATAATGGAAAGGTAGTTCTGTTTCTATACTCAGACTACTCAGGGATCGAGAAAGTAACAGTCATGAATAGGAGGATGATGTTCTCCATGCCTCATCCATGACCAAAATGTCGTGTGACAAAAGGGACACGATATGGTTGTATGAAAGGTTACATCGTTCAACGATCCTCATATGATTTGGGTAGTCGTGATGTCTTGCTAGAGACCGCTTACGACTTGTGAGTCATTATAGTTAATGGCCCACTGCCAACTTCATATGGGCCTACAGGGTCGCACACAAAATAGCCCAACACGAGTTATGATGTCCAGATTCATTGAATCTAAGATATGTCCAGATTCAATGAATAATGTAGGGTGGACGTGTGTGTATATATATATAAATTCGTATATATATATACATATTATATAAATATAAGAGATATTAATTGTTAGATTTAATTTATAAGGATAAATTAAATCTATATAAATTAATTCCGTCATATCTTTATTTTGAATTAAATAAATAGGTGAATTAAATCTGTGAGACGGATTTAATATAAACCATACTTATTTAATTGTTCTCTTATCTGATTAGGCAATATTTGATATTGTATTAATTTCAGAATTAATTTAGGATTAATTTCGAAATTAAATATCATTCATTAAACCTATAGCATCCTATATATTTGATATGAGGAGCTAGGGTTTTAAGCGTGGGAGTACCAGCAGATAAGAGACGGCCTAAGAGAGATAAGAGTGGACGGATTCTCTGAAAACCCTAGACAGACAAAAGGACGCTAGCACACCGTTTGTGACTGGAGAGCTATTCGTGTGGATACCGGTAGAGGAAGCCGACCGGAGTTGTCGACTTTGAACGACAAAGGAGGCGAGCAGAGGCATCCTGAACGGCGGAATCACCGAGCCACCAGGAAATCGAACACCAAAGGTAATGCTTCTTACTACCTGACTTAAACGCGATCGGTAGATCCGGGCAAGGGATTGAAAGTTTTAAAATTTTTTAAGTTGATTTCCGCTGCGCGTCATCTTTCAATTCCCTTCAGAAAGCAATTACCTGACATTCAGAGGCCTAGTAAGACCGGCAAGGACATTACTAACAGTATGGTGACTGACCTTGATACAAATGAGCTTTCAGAAGAAGGTGGTGTAGTAGAAGAGGAAGAAACCAAGAAAAGGAAACAAACAGAAGAAAATCTCAATGATGTGGTTTGAGGAAAAAATGTAGAGGGTGAAATGGTTGATGATAAAAAGAGGAAGACAACTCCCCCTCCTGCTACACAGATGCCGCCACTTCCCTTTCCTCAAAGGTTCAGGAAGAAAGATGAAGATGTCCAGTTCAAGAAATTTGTGGACATGTTTAAGCAATTACACATCAACATCTCGTTTGCTGAAGCATTAGAGCAGATGCCTAAGTATGCTAAGTTTCTTAAGGATGTTCTCTCCAAGAAGAAGAGATTTGGTGAATTTGGAACAATAGCCCTGACTGAAGATTGTAGTGCCATCTTGCAGCGAAAACTCCCACCCAAATTGAGAGATCCGGCCATTTTTTATATTCCATGCAACATAGGTAAACACTTCAATGGAAAAGCCCTATGCGATTTGGGAGCAAGTGTTAACCTGATGCCTCTAGCTGTATTCAATCGATTAAATTTGGGTGAAACAAGGCCAACAACTGTTACATTGCTCTTTGCTGACAAAAGTATCTCATATCCAAAAGGGATTGTAGAAGATGTCTTGGTGAAGGTAGATAAATTCATATTCCCAGCTGATTTCATTGTATTAGACTGTGAGGTAGATTGGAATATCCCCATTATTTTGGGACAGCCATTCTTAGCTACCGCAAGAACCCTTATTGACGTAGAAAAGGGTGAGATCACCATGCGAGTAAATGGTGAGAAGGTGATATTCAACATGAATCAAGCCTTGAAGTTTCCAGATGATTCTGCTCACTGTAATTGTATCGATGTGATTGATTCTATAGTGCAAGAGGAGTTGATTAACTCTTTGACCAAAGACCCATTAGAAGCATTGTTGATTGGAGAAACAAGTAGTATTGATGGCAAGGTTGAAGCCTATACAGAAGTGATGAGTATTGAAGCATTTCCGTATCGAAAAGCTAAGACTTTTGAGCCTCTGGATGTGACTAGTGCTTTAAGCTCTCCTCTAAAGCCTTCTGTGGATGAACCGCCAGTGTTAGAGTTGAAGACTTTACCATCACATCTCAAGTATGCCTACTTGGGTAATTCTACTACTCTACTTGTGATCGTTTCTTTTAAGTTGTCCATGTTGCAAGAAGAGAAACTGTTAAGGGTCTTGAGACACCACAAGAAAGCTATTGGGTGGTCCATAGCTGACATCAAAGGGATCAGCCCTTCTATTTGTATGCACAAGATTTTATTAGAGGATGGTCACAGACCTTCCATTGAGCATTAAAGGAGATTAAACCCAGTTATGAAAGAGGTAGTCAAGAAAGAGATCCTTAAATGGCTTTCTACTAGAATAGTCTACCCTATTTCTGATAGTTCATGGGTGAGCCCAGTTCAATGCGTCCCTAAAAAAGGCAGTATAACTGTAGTGGCTAATACTCGAAATGAGCTAGTTCCAACTCGTATTGTGACTGGGTGGAGAATTTGCATGGACTATCGAAAGTTAAATGTAGCAACCAAAAAAGACCATTTCCCGTTGCCATTTATTGATCAGATGTTGGATAAACTTGCTGGGCAAGAATTCTTTTGTTTCTTGGATGGGTATTCAGGTACAACCAAATTGTAATAGCCCCAGAAGATCAAGAGAAAACAACCTTTACTTGTCCATATGGCACGTTTGCTTTCAAAAGAATGCCATTTGGTCTTTGTAATGCTCCAGCAACATTCCAAAGATGCATGATGGCCATCTTTGCTAACATGATTGAGAAAACAATTGAAGTGTTCATGGATGACTTCTATTTTTGGAGATTCTTTTGATTGTTGCTTAGATAATTTGGCGGCTATTCTAGAACGATGTGAAGAAACTAATTTGGTTCTGAATTGGGAAAAATGTCACTTCATGGTGCAAGAAGGCATTGTCCTTGGTCATTGAGTATCCAAACAAGGCCTAGAAGTTGACAAGGCAAAGGTATCTGTTATTGAGCAATTGCCTCCACCAACAAGCGTTAAGGGTATTAGAAGTTTCTTGGGTCACGCGGGATTCTACTGTCGTTTCATTAAAGATTTCTCTAAAATCACTAAGCCTTTATGCAATTTGTTGGAAAAGATAGGGAGTTCAAGTTTAATGATGCTTGTATGAACTCTTTTGAAGAATTAAAGAAGAAGCTCACCTCAGCACCAATTTTAGTGGCACCTAATTGGGAGCTACCTTTCATCATTATGGCAGATGCTAGTGATTTTTCCGTTAGAGCAGTTCTAGGATAAAAAGTAGAAAAGGTCTTCCATCCCATCTACTATGCTAGTAAAACCTTGGATGATGCCCAACTTAACTACACTACTACAGAGAAAGAATTGCTTGCAGTGGTGTTTGCTTGTGAGAAATTCCGGTCTTATATTGTGGGCACTAAAGTGACTATCTATACAGACCACTTTGCCCTAAAGTACCTGTTTACCAAGAAAGATTCCAAAGTACACCTGATTCGATGGGTCCTTTTGCTTCAAGAATTTGACTTGGAAATTGTTGATAGGAAAGGCACTGAGAACCAAGTGGTAGATCATCTATCTCGATTAAGTAGTGAAGCTAAACATGATCATTGTCAAGGGATCAATGCATCTTTTCCTAATGAATGCTTGTTCTTTGTGGATAACTCAACTACTCCATGGTATGCAGATCTGGTTAATTATCTGGTTTGTGGAACTCTGCCACTAGACCTTAACTCCCATCAAAAGAGGAAATTTCTTCACGATGCAAAGATGTACTTCTGGGAAGAACCTTACTTGTTCAAAAGATGTGTCGATCAGATGATAAGAAGATGTGTTCCAGAAGTTGAGCAATAAGATATTCTAGAGTGTTACCACTCTTCAGCTTACGGTGGGCACTTTAAAGGAGAGAAAACTGCTGCCAAAGTCCTTTAAAGTGGTTTTTATTGGCCTTCACTATTTAAAGATGCATACGCCTTTGTGATCCGATGTGATCGGTGTCAACGAGTGGGAAACATATCAAGACGGAATGAAATGCCTCTCAATAATATTCTGGAAGTTGAACTCTTTGATGTATAGGGAATTGACTTCATAGGCCTGTTTCCAAAGTCTCTCAATCAAGAGTACATTCTGGTTACTGTGGACTATGTATCGAAATGGGTTGAAGCTACTGCATGTGTATCCAGTGATGCTAAAATGGTGATCAAATTCTTAAAGAAAAACATCTTCACGAGATTTGGAGCACCTCGGCCTATCATTAGTGATGGCGGTTCTCACTTTTGCAATCACCAATTTCAAGCTCTGATGAAGAAATATGGTGTAAAGCACAAGGTAACTTTGGCTTATCATCCTCAGTCAAATGGCCAAGCAGAAATATCCAACCGAGAGATCAAAAGCATTCTTGAGAAGGTAGTAGGTGTAACAAGAAAAGATTGGTCATTAAAATTGGATAATGCTCTTTGGGCCTACAGGACAGCATATAAAACTCTGATTTGGATGTCTCCCTATCGGTTGGTGTTTGGAAAAGCATGTCATTTGCCTGTAGAATTGGAACATGGAGCTTACTGGGCCATAAAAAAGCTCAACTTTGACTTTCAAGCTGCTAGTGCAAAAAGGCTCCTTCAACTGAATGAATTGGAGGAATTTCGCCTTAATGCCTATGATAGTGCAAGGCTCTATAAGGAACGGACCAAGAAGTATCATGATCAGAAAATTATCCCCAAGGTCTTTGAAGCGGGGCAAAAGGTGTTACTTCATAATTCAAAATTGAGATTATTTCCGGGCAAACTTAAATCATGCTGGTTAGGGCCATTCACTGTGGTACAAGCTGCTAACCATGGTGCGGTGGAGCTGGAAAATGAAAAAGGTGAAAGATTTCATGCAAATGGCCATCGTTTGAAGTATTATTGGGGTGGAAAGGTGGATTGTCAAGTCTCTACGATCTACTTTGCTGTACAATCATAACAAAGTTGAAGAGTCAGGCTGAAGACTATAAACCAAGCGCTACTTGGGAGGCAACCCAAGCTCTAAACTTGCCTTTGATGTGTTTCTTTTATTTCAGTTTTGTTTTAGTAGATTTACGTTTGATCTTTGTTTTTGTAGGCCTTTTGGTTTATTCCTCAAACTTTGGAGCTTAGCAGGAGTGGTTGATTTCTAATTAGCGCAACCAGGGAAGTGCACCTAACCTTAATCTCCAGCAGTGGCCTTGACCTTGATTGGTTTGAATTTGTGTTAAATTGAGGCTTGTGGGTTTTGCTTTTATGTGGTTGTTTGTGTTGTGTTTGTTTTTATGCTTGTGTTTGTGTTTAGACTTGTTTTATTGTGTGTAGGGTGTTTGATTGTGGTAGGTCCAGTATGTGTTCATTAATTTTTCATGTTAGGCCTTCTCTGTGTGAGGTACCGCAGCGCATTTGATGAGAAGCTGCGGCGCCTCATCTGTTTTAGAATCCTCTTTCTGTAATAGGTGCCACGGTGCCTTCGTCCGTGGTTTTCGGTCCATCTTAGTAAAAACCGCCGCGGCGCGATTACTTCAACTGGGGTCTGCAGTTCTGTAAAAGGCACTGCGGCGCCTTGGTGAATCCGCCGTGGTGCCTTCTCGCATTTTCTCAGCTCCTTCTTTGTGTTCCCCATTTTAACCTTGCTCATTTGTCTCAATACCCACTTTGCCCTTATGTATCTGACCAGTTTTGAGGGTAGATTCATTGTTTAATTTTAAAACCCTAACCCTTTGGTCTTTTCACTCTCCTTACCACATTAAAACCCCCTTCCTATTAAATAACCCCCCGTCGGTTTTCCCCCCTTCCTATTTAATAACACTCCTTCGGTCCATTCGAAATACCACTCCTTCGGTCCATTCAAAATCGCCGGTCGTCTCTCCCTCTCCCTTGTTAAAACCGCCGGTTATCTTCTTTCTCTCCCTCACTGTCGGCACCCCTCTTCTTTGTGTTTGTTTTGACGCTTTCTCTCCCTTATTCATCCGTTGTAAGTGTGTTCTCTCTTGCTCTTTTATTTATTTTATTCTAGTTTAGTTTTGCTGGAGATCGGTAATGCTAGGGTTATGCATTGTGGTTAGATGATTTTTGAACTCTAGATGGGGGCATTTTGATTCTCTGAGGTTACATTGTGGTTAGGTGATAATTCCTTATTGCCCAACTATCTGTGAACATGTATTGATGAAAATGTGATACTTGTGAAATTGAGTGATCATAGCTTGGACCTGATTTGAGAAAATGAGGTGCTTGTCTAAATTTTCAAATAACACCAGTTCATTACCCAAGTTATATTGTTCTTTTTCACTTGTAACTGATTTGGAAATGTTATTCTAATTTAGTGAAATTAGTTTAAATTGGCAGCTACTGATGGTTGCCTGATTTTGATATTATTAGATAAAAGAGAACCTTTGTGAACTTGGTTTGAATTGGGGGTATTTTATAACTCAGGTTTAAAAAGGGATTAAGTAATGGTGAGATTGTGTTCTGGCTCTTTGATTTCAGTTTGAGGGAAAGTTTTTCTTTGTTTTTAGGTTAGTTTTTTTTTTCTCTTGGTCGGTTGTTTCGTGATTGTGGTGTGTTATTTGCTTAGTTTGTGTGTGGTGTGCTTTACTTTCTCTTTGCAGGTAACAATCCAATGGCCCCCAGGAAGAAAGCCCGTGCAACCTCCCTTTATCCTCTAATCAAAGAGCTTATTGAAAGAAGAGGTTTGCATCAAGAAAGAGAATTTCCTTGCACAAACAAATTCAGGTTTTATAAAAAAGCAAGGAAGCTCAACTTCTTAAATTTGATTGGTCCTAAAGGCGAAGGGAATGAGAAGCTGGTCAGGAAATTCTATATTAGGGTGGCAACAAACTTGAGTAATGAGATGTTTATACGATACCAACGTGTCCTCATTACTCCGGTACATATCAGAGATCACTATGAGCTTCCCGAGGTTGAAAAGTGCCAATATCAGTGGTATCTCAACAATCAAAAAGAGATTCCTCTCGATGCCATTTCAGCAACACTCACCGGTTCTGATGTGATGTGGGTGCGGCCTAAGAGGGGCCAAGCGTATATTATGTGAAAAGACATGATACCTGAGGCCAGAATCTAGTTGCATATTGTCACAAGGAACATTATGCCAACCACTCATCTCAGTGAAGCCCCACGAAATCTGGCACTCCTAATATATCTGTTTATGATCAAAGCGACAGTGGATGTAGGAAAATTGATTTTTGATGCCATATGGGATGCCAGCAGAGCCCACAACATAAATCTTGTCATGCCTCACCTCATCTCGGATCTGCTAACTAAAGTGGGGGTAGAATGGAAA